AACATGATGATTAGCAGTCTCCATTCGCTTACCACGGAATGTGTCTCTAAATCATAGTTTTCCTTTACCGAATTGGATACTAACCTAATCTCCTCCAGGTGCCCGTTTAGCGAGAAGAATTTGTATGGATTAGTTTAGCGCCTATAACCAATGTCTGTGGCTCTTTTGATAATGAGGGTATTATAGAAGCACACGAGATGTGCCTTTAGGAAAACAAGATGTTCTGAGCGCCTGAATAGTCAGTTTCCTCTTGAATGTTGTTTTTTATAGTACCAAGACAACTACGAAGGCGACGAACCTGTGGGAGAGATCATGGATCGTTTGTGCAAGAAAATATACGCACTTGATGAGGAGAAGCGACTAAGGCAGAGAGCCATGCTTTGTCACGTGTACTGGTTGGCTCTACATGATGAGTGGCACCGCGCAAGGGATTTGATGCTCATGAGTCACCTTCAAGCCATTGTGGATCATTCTGACACGGATACGCAGGTACGCATGATTCCTCTACTCCAGAAATGTGTTATTTTTTGGACCGCGACGGCTTCATTACTGAAAATATTCCATATAAGAATTGATAGATACTTGATATTCATTATTTCGAGTTTTGTTCAAGACTGAATGAAAGTTTTATTTTTGAAAATTTCTATTGATAAATTTCGGGCTCAGGCTTTCTTGAGGTCAGCTAGAAATATTCCATCGAACTCTTACAGATCCTGAACTCTTACAGATCCTCTACAATCGAACAATTTGCCAACTGGGACTCTGTGCATTCCGGCATGGATTCATCAAAGAAGCGCATCAAGGATTGTCTGAGATACAAAACACACAACGAGCCAAAGAATTACTCGCTCAAGCAGTAGCTATGAGGCAGCATGAGAGAACGGCCGAACAGGTAAGAGTTAGTCTTCTATCCAGGGGAGCGTACGCACCGAGCGGAAAGGCCGATCTTTAACAAAGCAGGCTCCATTTCTCGGGATTTCCATTCTTTTGCAAAAGTGGGCAGGCAACTCAGATCAGCTGGCTCGTTATCTCGGTGTAATCATAGAAAAAAATCGACTTCCTTTTTTTTCCAGTCACCTGGAATGTTGTACCCCCCCCCCCCATTGCGCTCGAAATGGTAGTGGTTCGAGGAGAATCTGGAGAATATCTCTGAAAAAAAAGGAGAAAGTTGGGGAGAACTGAGAGAGATGTTAGGATGGGGGTGGGAAGGAGGCATACTAGAAGAGGAGATTGGGAAGGAGGGCAGGTGGTTCAGACTTCGAAAAAAGTTTTCACCAACGGCAGAACATGCCCTGATTGCTTAAGCCAGCCAGTTTAGAAAAGTACTTACTATTTGCAACCATGGAACTTGTTGTGGCAGACCGCTCAATACTAATGAGCTCACTGCCCTAAGTGATAAATGGAGCGGTTGTTTACATTGGTTGTGTTAACAGTGATAGTTCATATTAGGTCTATAAAAGACCCTCAGTGCGGTGTGATGTCAGTTGTCTACTCGTGTGCAAATAAAGCACTCTCGTCCGAAGTCTCAACACTGGCGATCAGGACTCAGAAGAACCCCTGCGGAAAGAAGTTCAACAAGCAGCCGGTCAACTTGAAGACTTCAACATGCCAAGCAGCGTTCCAGCCTCCTCAAGAGAAGCACCTCAATGGATGACCCAGTTCCTCGGTGCGATCCAGCAGCAAAACCAGCAGCTCCAGCAACAACTCCAGCAGCAGAACCAGCAGCTCCAACAGCAGTTCCAGCAGCAGAACCAGCAGTTCAACCAGCTCCTGGCAGCACTTGTGGAGCAAAGGGTAGGGTCTGCACAAACTTTTGAGAAATCACCTTCTTCAGATGTTTATGGTGACCTGATGCGAGACCTACCATACTTCAACTATGACGACGACGACGACTCGACCTTCAATGCGTGGTTCAAGCGATATGGACCAGTGATCGACGATCGAGGGAACACGCTTTCGGAAGAACGTAAGCGAAACCTCATTATTGATAAACTGGACAAGGCAACCTACAAAACGTATTCCGAACACGTTTTGCCGTTGAAACCACGGGATATCGACCTGCCCACTACTGTCGAAACGCTGACCAAACTATTCGGACCGAAGAAGACTCTTATTCGCCGTCGATTCGAGTTCCTGCAGACATCCTGTCCTCCAATAAGCGGATCACATGTACCCTACCGCGACTTCGGAAACACGATCAAGAAGAAGTTCGAGGAAGCATGTATGAAGGATGTTGACAGCGAATCACTCAAATGTCTTGTCTTTGTAGCTGGTCTCACCGACACTTCCCATTCAGAGATGCGTCTACGACTCCTGAACAAGATGAATCGCCTCAAGGAATCGGATCCCCTCCCAATTCTCGACGACTTCATCGCAGAATGTGAAACTTTCGTCACTTTGCGTTCAGATAACCGAACGATGGAGACAAAGGAGATAAACGCCGCTCACCAAGTAAAGCCATTTAAAAAGCGACTTGGACCAAAACACGTCAGTTTTAGAAGGCGCTCCTTTTCCAAAGAACGAGAAAGCGGCATGGAGAAACAGAATCGGAGAAGCGTGTCGACAAAGAAAAGAAGAGCTCGATCTTCCAAACGCAAGCTTCGATGCAAGAACGTAGACGTCATGACCAAAGATGCAAGAACCTACATGAAAGTCCGCATCAATGGCTCGCTAACCCATCTACAGCTCGACACTGGAGCAGACATAACAATGATATCTCGCAGAACATGGACCAAAATTGGATCCCCACCTCTTCGTCCAGGAATCTCAACAGTGAAGACAGCCGATGGCTCACCGATGAAGATCTTAGGATGCTTCGAAGCCGACTTTTCAATTTTCGATCGACATCAGAGACCTATCTCTGGAAGAGGAAATTGCTATGTCACAGAAGCTACCGATCTCCTGGGACTCGAATGGTGTATCCAGATGCCAGATTATCGTCAGCTCAAAGAACAGTACAACTGTCGACAAGCAACGGCAGCGCTCGACAACCATCGCAACGAACTCGTTACTCACTTGAGAACACAGTTCCCTAACGTCTTCGCTCCAGGTCTTGGACGCTGCACCAAGACGAAAGCTAAGCTATTCCTGAAACCAGAGGCTCAACCAGTGTACCGTCACAAGCGACCTGTACCATTCGCCTCTCAACCAGCCGTCAATGCCGAAATCGATCGCCTAATCCAAGAAGGAGTACTCACAGCCGTGGACCACTCAAATTGGGCAGCACCAATAGTGGTGGTGAAGAAAAGCAATGGCAGTATCCGATTATGTGCGGATTTCTCCACCGGTTTAAATGACGCCTTATCACTTCATCAACATCCGTTACCAACAACGGAGGAAGTCTTTACCAAGCTCAACGGTGGACAGCTTTTCTCACAGATCGATCTGGCAGATGCATACCTACAAATCGAAGTGGACGATGACTCAAAGGAACTACTCACGATCAACACACATCGTCCCGCCCGTAAGCCAAAAAAACACAAAAACAGGCCCCCACACGATCCCCTCCAAGCAACCAAGCCCAAACAATAACGACGACCACAATCAAGCCCCCCCCCCGGTGGTCTTTTTTCCGCTATAATCGCCTACCGTTTGGAGTGAAATCAGCTCCAGGTATATTCCAACAGATTATCGATTCCATGATAGCAGGATTGCATGGCGTCGCAGCTTATCTGGACGACATAATCGTTACCGGACGCACTACTATGGAGCATCGCCAAAACCTGGAAGCACTTCTCCAACGAATAGAGCTATACGGATTCCGAGTACGAGAAGAAAAATGCCATTTCATGATGTCAGAGATCAAGTATCTTGGAAACATCATCGATGCCAATGGTCGACGTCCAGATCCCGAAAAGATTCGCGCTATCACAGAAATGCCAGAGCCGAAGGATATCGCACAACTCCGTTCGTTTCTCGGAATGCTGAACTACTACGGAACATTCATTCCTGAAATATGCCAACTTCGCGCTCCCCTCGACGCCCTTCTGAAGAAGAACGCTCAGTTCAAATGGACAAACGAATGTCAGAACGCTTTTGAGAAGGCCAAAGAAATTTTGGTCTCACCACTCCTGCTCACACATTATGACCCACAATTGGATCTCATTGTTGCAGCAGACGCTTCTGACTATGGCATTGGAGCCGTAATCCTGCACCGCTTCGCAGATGGATCAGAGAAAGCAATCAGCCACGCCAGTAGAACTCTCACAGAAGCAGAGAAGAAATATGGTCAGATCGAGAAGGAAGGACTTGCATTGGTCTATGCAGTTCGCAAATTTCATCGATATCTACTGGGACGCCAGTTCACTCTCCTCACAGACCATAAACCGCTTGTCTCTATATTTGGAAGCAAGAAAGGCTTGCCAGCATACACAGCAAATCGACTACTGCGCTGGTCATTAATACTTCGTGGTTATGACTTCAAGATTGAATACAGGAAAACCACAGATTTCGGACAAGCCGATGCATTGTCACGACTGATTGCCGACCAGAAGGAGCAAACCGAAGATATCATCATTGCAAACGCCTCAAATGATGCTGAATTCGAATGCAAGGCTGTGAAAGCACAGATTCCCATGACATGAATCAGATCGCAGAAGAAAGTCTCGCAGACAATACGCTGAAGAGCGTGATCCAGTACGTCCGTGAAGACAAATGGCCAAAGAAACCTACGCCGGAGATCAGATCTTACTTCAGTCTCCGCCAGTCTCTCTCGCTCCAAGACGACTGCCTTTTCTTTGGACCAAGAATTGTAATCCCAGCGAAGTTCAAGGACCGTGTTCTGAAACTTCTACACGAAGGACACCCCGGAATGTCAAGAATGAAGAGCCTAGCCCGCTCATATGTCTACTGGACAAATATCACCAAGGACATAGAAGATTATGTTCGAACCTGCAGTAGCTGTCAAGAAGCGGCAAAAGCACCAGTCAAGACACAGCTATTCTCCTGGCCATACGAACAGAAACCATGGTCACGTATTCATGTGGATTTCGCAGGACCAATTGATGGAAAGATGTTCCTCATTATAGTGGATGCATACTCAAAATGGCCAGAAATCATGGAAATGTCTTCAACCACAAGCAAGGCTACAATACGGCAACTAAACAGAGTGTGCACCCGATATGGATATCCCGAAATCTTAGTTTCGGACAATGGAAGTCAATTCACTTCATTGGAATTCGAGAACTTCTGCAAAACGAATGGGATCGTCCATATACGCAGTCCACCGTACCATCCACAATCGAATGGACAAGTCGAAAGATTCGTCGACACTTTCAAACGTGGATTGGAGAAGCTGAAGGAATCCGAAACAACAGCAGAGGCCGTACAGAAATTTTTGCTATCCTACCGCAGCACACCATGCTCATCTTCACCCGAAGAACGATCACCGGCAGAGAACTTCCTAGGACATCGTCTCCGAACGCCTCTCACTCTTCTGACGACACCTAGAAGCGTACCGACGGCGCGCAACGAAGACATGGAAAATCAGTTCAACAGACACCATGGAGCTCGCATGAAATCCTTCAAGCCGGAAGACCCCGTCTGGGTGAAAGCGTTCCAGAGAGGCAGGAAGAAATGGATACCAGGAAAGATCCTGAACTGCCGCGGAAATACAGTATACGACGTCCTCGTGAATGAAGCCGTGGAATGTCGTCATGCCAATCAACTACGTCCACGCATGGCCGCCACACCAGAACAGACATCACTGGAAAGCTACGACTTATCACCTGAACCGGCACAACGTGCGAAAACGTCGTTCCAGAAATCCATTGACTATGGCAACACCAGATGCAACAATCAACTGTTCAGATTCAGAAGCTTCATCACGGAAGAAAACCACACCGCTCAAAGAACGCCCACAACGCAACCGCCGACCGCCGAGCCGACTCCAAGTCAAGCCACATCAGAAGACATACATGTAGACAAAAACTTACCCATTAATAAGATGAATGTTGTTATTGTATAAAAAAAAACAATCCCACCATTGCATCTTAGGGGGGAGGTGTTGTGGCAGACCGCTCAATACTAATGAGCTCACTGCCCTAAGTGATAAATGGAGCGGTTGTTTACATTGGTTGTGTTAACAGTGATAGTTCATATTAGGTCTATAAAAGACCCTCAGTGCGGTGTGATGTCAGTTGTCTACTCGTGTGCAAATAAAGCACTCTCTTCCGAAGTCTCAACAGAAACTAAGGATATGCACCCGGAAAACTTGATGATACTGTTGCCTACTATCCCACTATACTTTCACTGATCGAAACATACATTTTCCATTCGTTTCCTTTTCAGGAGAAACTGGAGCGCCAACGGCAGATCCCCTATCATATGCACATTAATGTTGAACTTATGGAATGTGTGTACCTGATTTGTTCTTTTTACTCGGTATTCCTCATATGGCTCAGCTTGCGATTTGAAAGTGCGTCGGACGACTACTCATCGAAGTTTCCATTACCAGTTAAAGCAGAGTGAGAAGGTAACGCTTATTTTGTCTCCTTTCTCATGATAAGACCCTAGAACTCGAAAATCAGTAGTACTAAGACCCTCCGACCTATGTTCGCTCTCCGAAATCAACCCAGCGAATACAAGCTTCTTTTTGAATGTCATCTTGTAGTCACAGCCAAGATGATACAACTTACTCGGACTGATTTTGCTCCT